ACCAGATGGTCCACTTCCGCTTTCAGAAGCAGGGAAATTTTTGCCAAGCGTTCACGGCTCGATTTTGTGTCCTCCGCCACTTTAGCTTCTTTTGCCAACCTCTGCAGTTCCTCATTTCTTTGATCATCATCAAGGTCTTGTAATTGCTCTAATTGTTTACCAATAATTGAATTTGTTAAAATATGTAAAGCCGACTGGACGGCATCTCTGGATTGAAAGGGGTCAGTGTTTACCTCTTCGTCCTCCATTATCTGCTATTTAGAAATTAAATAGGAGATGTAAATGTTTAGGTGGTAAAATAAAATCAGAAGAGTTTCTCTCTACTGATGTATTTACTCTTATTTAGTGATTTATCAATTAAACGTGCGTTATCTTTTTAGCAAGTGAGTAAACTTTTTCCATTTTTTTGTGAATATCTGTAACTGTTTCTATTTTTTAAAAGTTTGCTTTAATTTTTATTTTGTGCCTTTTCTTAAGGAATTATCAGTGAATAAAAATGCGTTCGGTAAATGATCTTTGCATAAATACCTTTATAACTTTTAAAATGCAAGATAACAGTGTTTATTCAACTTTGAGGAACGTTTATTTACTCAAAAATGCCTTACAGAAAAATAAAAACGTTTAATTTCACTCTTTAAACCTAAAACGAAGTGAAAACCTGTGATCTTCACGTTTATCCAGAAGGTGTCAGTACAACCTTATTAATTTTAACTCAGACACTGTTAGTGTTGTCCAGTAGGGGTCGCTATGACTTCCTGTGGCGTCCGGTCGTTAGCTGTTTGCTAATTCCGGATAAAACCAACATTTCTGAACGGATTTTTTACACAAACGTGGCAAAATTTCAGCAATTAGACTTCGAAGAACCTAAACAGCGTTTCAGAACACAGCTTTAAAGCGCTTTTCAGCTTTAAAAAGCAGATTTCATTCCCTATGAAAACGATTTTTCATTTCCGGGTCACGTGACTGAAATCACCAATGACAAAGCAGCAGGGGTGAGAGGAAGTGACGTAGCCACGTCAGTCAATTTCTCAGCCAATCAGAGCGCTCCACAGCAGCAAATCAACCAACCACGAAGCGTTAGTAGCCACCAGCATGTTAGATTAGCCTGAAACCATTTCGTCAACTTATCGTCTTTTAAACTGTCAAAATGCACTTTTTCTGTTAAAAATGTAACAAATTAACTCTGAGCTGTACGGAGTCTTCTACTCCGGTCTCAAAAACGTCTTTCTAGCTATTTAAAAAAAACCTCGTCCGAACCTTTTTCAGAACCGAGCCGGTCCAGAACCGCAACTGGACCGTCTTTAAACAGAATAGAGCGTTTTCACCCAGCTCAAAACCAGCTTAGTTACGATAACAGGCGTACAAATTCAGCTTTCACAAGACATATGACATTATTTCAGCTTTCATAACATCGCCAGCGTAATACAGCGTAAACATGCAGAGCCAAGCACCAAGCGCGCAGCTCCAGCACGCTGCGTAAACATGCAATGTTTTGACTTCAAAGCTTTTGAGCTGCGTTTCAGCACAGCTGATAAACTGTTACTTTTCATGCCAACACGTAAAATTCAATCTTTACACGAATATACAGTCATTTATGAGCACGTAACGGGCCACCAGAATGTAGATGAACAGATGCTCAGATATATTCATCAATTAACGCGGATTCCTCATTTTTCTGAACTGAATAAAACGTGCATTGAATTTAATGAAAGGCAAACGTGAGACGTCATTTATATTTGACCCATCAAAATGAATGCGGTCATTTATTTACAGAATCAAAGTTTAACATCAAACATTTACATTAATTTGGCAAATTATGAAAATAACAACATAAGCAATCAATCAGGAAAAATCATACGGCCATGATTTTTCCGTTGCTTCACCACAGACATTTATGAAAACTGTACAATTATGATCTTTTACCCACATGGTGGTGGATGAGCACTTTACACAGACATTTCTAAATATCTGGAAGAATTTCTACTTGAGAGAGGAGTTTAAAGATGGGAAAGAAGTTTAAAGAAGAGTAAAAGATGGGGTTTGAGGGAGTGTGAACAGAACGGCACTCTCCGGGCTTTCTTCAGCTTCTCCTTACAGTACACTTAGGTGGTGAAATCGACTCTTTTACCTGGAGATGTCTCAGGTGAGATTCCGTTTAACGCACCCTTCAGCGTCTCCGTAGGATGCTGTTACTCGTCCGGAGTAGCAGCTTTTTGTCCCTCACAGCTCACCTCAGTGAAAAATGTTATAATCCCATGAAACTCGGAAGAGCTCTGTTGTCATGTCAGGATCTTCCCGGCTCCCAGAACTGGGCTTCTCCGCACAGAACCGACAGAACTGTGTATCCAACAGAACTCCAACAGAACTGGTTAGACCAGGAAGTACCGACATTTTAAAGAGCTGTTTTCCCGGTTCATCTGGGAGTATTCCCATTGGCCAGAACCGACCAGACGGGGTGTGTTTTGTGACGTAAAAGGTTAGAATGCAGCAAGAATTGTTATGGAAAGATCAGAAATGTTCTCACAGACAGAGAGAGTTTTGTTTTGGCGAGTTTAAGAAACAGGTGCCAAAACCCCCTGTTGACGTCTGAGAGGATATAAACAGGACAGTTGTTCCAACGCATGTCTGCTTCACTCCTGACCCTGGAAACGTACACTTGCTCATTCAAAGGCAGAAGTCAGAAAATGCATAAAAATCTGTAACAGACCTCAACATGAATTCTAACTTTGCATGAGAATTAAAAATCATTACACAGTTAATAAAATTGATTAGTTCACTGCAACATCTAAAATGGTTTGAACTAAGACACTTTGATTATCAACATTTGTAAAATAGTAATGATAATAAAAAGAGAGTGTTCTTTCACTTGATTATCAAGAAAGAGAGTCTCAGGATGGGTGAACCTGTATCTCTGGATTCAAATCAATGAAATGACAGTTTCTGTCCCACAAGGTTCTTAAGGTCAAGGGTTTTGACCTTAGGCTTAGTCGTGACACCAGATTAAGTTCACTACAAAGATACCTATTAGTGATAATGATATGTCCTGCCTGGCTGTCGTGCTAACTTTTGGGCAACCAAGACATTTTTAACTGTAACCAAAAACTAACAATTTGCTTTCCTAAAAGACAACATGTGGCTTATGTAACTTGTAAAAAACAAAAAAACAAAAAAAAAAAAACACTTATGTAACTCATGATATCTGCCAAATAACAGATGCTTCAAGAGGAAGATGGAAGATAGGGTTCACACTAATAACTGATGCCAAGTCAAGCAAATTCTTCACTCTGTGGGTTAGGTCTACACGTCACTCAGTCTGCGGGTGAAGTGATGACATGTTTCTGTCTCTATCATTGAAAATGGTTGAGGTTTATTATAGGTTATAATCAAATAACGAAGGAGAACAGTTTTATAACGTAGACCAATACTTATAAGAAATACTGGCACCTTGAATGTTCATCATTAAAACTGTTTGTTTTAAAATTAAATAATGCATAAAATTAGCTTTATTCTTTCAAAATACATTTTTTATTGTATTTTTATAAATAAGAACAAAACCAACAAGACTGGCAGCAATCTATGTTACTTTGCAGATATTTTTTTTAACCAGTTGTCACCCATTGTGTGTTTTTTAACTGAATGACAGTTTTTACTGGTACATTATACATATTAATCAACCATCCATCCATTATCTTTTACCCGCTTCTTCCATTTTGGGTCACGGGGGTCGCTGGTGCAGCAATCACTGTGCGAGGGGCGGGGTACACCCTGGACGGGTCGCAAGTCCATCACAGGGACACATAGAGATAAACAACCATTCACTCACACTTAAGGACAATTTAGAGTTACCAATCAGTCTAACATGCATGTTTTTGGTCTGTGGGAGGAAACTGGAGTACCCGGAGAAAACCCACACATGCACAGAGAGAACATATAAACTCCACCCAGAAAGGCCCCTGGACCGGGATTTGAACCAAGGACCTGCTTGCTGAGAGGCAGCAGCTTTACCAGTTGCGCCACCATACTGCACCATATTAATCAACTTACAATTAATTTATGAATCAGACGGTGTGTGCTCAGGGAACGCTGAGAAGCCCCAAATCTATTAGATAATTAAAAAAAAATATGACGATAAAAATGTAGACTGGTGATCATAAATTGGTGGCACCCAACCCATATCTGGCCAGCGTACTAATTCGATTTAGCCTGCAGTATTAAATTATAAACAAATTATGCACAATCTAATAAAACAAGCAGCTGAATCCAGCTCAGAGACGGTTGTTGATGCCTAACTCAGACACTAAAACACAACAATGGAAAAACATTCAACTGAGCATTGCAGCTGATTAGCTCAGTACGATGCAAAAAGCACTACAAAATGCAGATTTTTTATTTGACAGCCACACTTTGGTTTAAACATATTGTATGTCTAAATGTCACTTTTAAACCAAGGCTGTTACCACAGGACAAGTTTATGTGGGACTATATAGTAGGGTAAATGTAAAATTTCTAATTCAACTACACAATATCTCACTCATTACTGGATGAATGGACAATTTGAACACAGCCTACATTTAATGTGATGTTAGCCAAAACATCCAGACATTGTTTAAATATCTTCTCAACTTAAAAAAAAAAAATGCTCACTGCCTTCTGTGTCTTGTGTCAATATAGCACAACTATATTCTAAGAATTGGTAAGTTGTTAAATTTGCACCAAATTTACCTATGAGTGAAAGTAACACAACTCTCCCTGCTTTATTTGCATTGTCATATTTCCTTACATTGCCAGCAGGAAAAGAGAAAAGCTGTTTTACATCACTTATTTTGACATTTTAAATTGTTAACTCTAATTGTTCCAGTTTTACGCAATCTGCATCTATCCAGGTTTTTCTCTTGACAATGGTGTTTGTATATGAACATAGAATTTTCAAGCAAATAATAATAATAATAATAATAATAATAATAATAATAAGTTCAGTTAAAACGTGTAAATGTTCTCACCTTGTTCTGTGCGATGCAGTGGATGGTTCTGCTGTGGGCATCGGACAACACTGAAGCAGCTGTGCCTTTGTTCATGTCCAGTACTTGAATGGAGTGATCAGAACCACACACTAGAATGATGTCTAATAATGCTGTTTAAAAAAAAAGTCATGACTTGTGCATTGTACCGTGTTTTTTTTAATTCATTAACAAAATGTTTAGCTTGAGTTAAATGCAACCTTGTTTAGTATACACACAAAAATAAACGATAAAGCATTTCTGTCTGAACACATTTTTTATGTGGTATCAGATTCTAGACAGGACCAAACTCATTCCAACTAGGATCCGTTCAGTGGATTTACTGGAGTTGGTAAATGCATTGTAAAGCTTTGCATAGGATTGGAATGCAGACATCCCTAAATAAAACATAAAGACACCTAAATGCTTAGTAAAATCAGCAGTAGATACCCTCAGGCTAAGCAGGAAGACTTAATGAGGCTGTTGTGGTTTTCATGGAAATTGTCTAACTTGATGCTTAAAAGGATGGGCTCACTCTGTCAGCATCAGTGTGGTCTTACCTCCTCCACTTCCTGCTGCAGGAAGTTCAACAACAACAAAAAAAGGATACATGAAAGAAAGTCATTGGCCGCAGACAGAGCAGTGATGTCTGTTGAAGATGATGTTCTTACACAACTTGCCAGTTTGATGACACTCCGCTGCTTATATCTAGAGGAAAAACATCCCAACACTTTTCAGTTTTTAAACCAACATACATAAAGCCAAAATTAAAACTATAACTCATTTACACCTGTTTGAGCAGCTCAAGAAAATACAAGATTTACTCTCTAAATTCTTACATTTTGAACCTTTGTATTTATTTTTATTTAGTTGTTTTGTAGTCAATGTAATCATCATAAACAGTGACCAGAACATAAACAGTAATAGGCAACATCCAGTATTAAAACAGGAAACAGATGCCCAATTTATGGATATGTTTTGCCACCAGAAAGTGCCATGGCAGCCTGCAGTGCACATTTAAGCTGTGTGGGTGTTAATGAATGTCAGCAGTCTGGAGTAGCAGCTCAAATAAGCCAGGATTCTGCTAGTAATAAAGCCTGCTTCCTAAATAGGTTACATAAGTGTTGAAACCCATACATATATCATCTTCTGTCTACTAGAACGTTTGTCCTTTTTGAAACGATTAACTATAGAAGGGAAGTTGCTCATGACTGGCAAGATGTTTCTGAGAAAGCACAGTTTGGTCTGCAAATATTTCTTATGCTAGGATCGATAAGTCCAAATGTTTTCATTCATATATGCCAACAAAAGTGTAATCCTTGAATACTGCTCTGACATAAAGGAACAGTGTACTAAAAAGTGAAATAATTTTATAACTCTTGTTATTTTTTGAGATTTTTAGCTGTAGTTACCTTTTGATGTCATCACGGCTGGTGTCCACATTATACAGGTACAAGTAAACAGAAGGGCCAGATGCCAGAAGTAGAAATTTGTCCAGGTAATAGAACTGAGCCCCTTTAACGGGTTTGGAGAAAATATTGTCACCCTAACAGAGAAAAAGTAGAAACAAAAATTAGACCAATGTATTTTAATTATTGTGATATTTTGGAACTATTATATATTATTTTTGTTACATAAGGATAAGGATAAGTTTTCTTTATTGTCATTCTCATCACATGTGACACATATGGTGGAATGAAACTGTATACACAGGGTCCCAGTTACATCCAGCAAAAGTATAAATTGTAAAGAAAAACAGTATTAAGATCTAAGATATGAACTACAAAATTTGCTATACATAATTTGAAATGCATGACAAGATACATAAAACTAGCTCAATCAAAAGCTTTTCTAAGGAAAGATACTTAAACAAGTATTTTTTATTAAATAGTAGATAATGTTCAACATATTTAAAACAGTTCAAAGACACTTACAACCAAGCTCTTCTGATCAGGCAGAATTCAAAATATTACTTCTAACATACAAAGCTCTCAACAACCTAGCTCCATGTTATATTACAGATCTTATTGTTCAATGTTGTTTTTCTAACAGAGCACTTCACTCTCAGACTGCAGGTTTATTTGTGGTCCCTAGAGTTTCCAAAAGTAGAATGGGAGGCAGAGCTTTCAGTTCTCTGGCTCCTCTCTTGTGGAACTAACTTTGTTTCTGTCCGTTAGGTTGATACATTGTCTACTTTTAAGATTAGGCGTAAGTGTTTCCTTTTTTGATAAATCTTATAGTTAGGGTTGACTTGGGTTTCCTGAGTGATCCCTTAGTTATGCTACTAAAGGCTTAGACTGCTGAAAGAGAAATTGACCTAATTTCCTCACTCTGCTGCTGTCTTTACTTGCTCTACTTTACTTGTTTGAATTTGTAATTATTTATATCCTTAACATGAGTTTTTATGTTTTTCCTCCTATAGAAAGTTCACCTGGACCTGCCATTCTGTGTCCATCTGTTTCTCCTTCCTGTTCTCTCAAACCCCAGCTGGTTGAAGCAGACGGCCGCTCAGTACTGGAGGTTTCTTCCTGTTAAAAGGAAGTTTTTCCTTTCCACTGTTGCCATTGTGTTTGCTCAGGATGGGAGACTGTGACAAAGTGAAGATTTAACACAATCTGCTGGCTTCCTTAGATAGATAACTTTTACTAATTGGCTTTATTAATTTATGTAAATGTTTTTGTACAGTGCCCTGAGATGACTTCTGTTGAGACTTGGCACTACAGTATATACATAAACCTAATTGAATTGATCACTTTTTATACTAAGCAGATTAGAGGAATCCAAGAAAACATGTTCCAAAAATGGGGCATCCTCATTAGACTCTGTTATTTTAAACTATCAGAATCCATCAAAGCTGGGTTTGATACTCTTTTCTGTTCATGTATGACTAATTTACCAAATATATGAAATATGAAAACTTACATAAGCATCCAAAAAAGTTCAATCTGGTCCTCTGGACATTCAAAAAAAAAAAAAAAAAAGCAAAACAAAGCAAAAAAAATTCTAGAAACGTTTCGTCTCTCATCCAAGAGACTTCCTCAGTCTGAGGTGCTGTTTTCAGCTCAGTCTCTTAAATAGCACCTTCTCAGAGTGGATCAACCAGTTTGCTGCTGACAACCAAAACCAGCTGATCACATGCTCAAGAAGGACCATCAGCCTAACAATGGATCATTAGCACACTGATGGCTGTTTACTATTCACAGAGGGCTGAGTGATACTAGCAATCACAGCATTGTAAGAGGGGGACAGTTGAACCCGGAGGCCTCCACCCCTGTTTAATGATGGACGATTTCTTTTCACAAAGATGGCCTCCTTTACTCCTCTCTCAAACCATCGTTCCTCTCTGTCCAGGATGTGAACATCTTCAT